TATTCCGCTGCGCTGTTCCCCAGCCCATGATGATGATGATGCAAATGTGTTGTTGTTGTTTTTCTCGTTGGTTTACTTGTTGCATTGTGCACATTGACATCTGGTGAATGTTGCATCTATGCTGCTGGTTGTTGCCACTTTCATCATTGCTAGRTCCTAGGCTGTTAGTGCATTTCACTTTCTGATATGCAACAGTGGCCCTTGAACAGCCAGCATACACGGCTTCTCTGTTTCCCTCCCCCTCCCCCTCCCCCTCCCCCTCCCCCCCCACCAGAAAGAGACATCGACTTATTAAAATTGCTGGAAATCAGGTCCAGCAGCTTCGTAGTGGAACTCACCATCATATCGCCACCCTTGACGAGGTGAACAACCGAGCCGCCATGCTGATACATGCCCTTGGTCGCCGGCGGCATACGGGCCATCACATCGTTGTTGTTCACAAACCGGAGATATCGCAGCATACCGTCTTTCCTCGTGTTCAGCCTCTCTAGGAAGTTGGCAAACTTTCCACACCCTACACGCGGTTGGCCGAAGGTGTACAGGCCTCCAATCCTCTTAATGAGACGCTGATGGCTGTCATCCGCAATGAGGAGTCCGGTGAAGACTGCGGCACATCCGGCTCCGATGCCATGTCCTCCCACGAAAAGTCGACATCGGACATCCATTCGAAGTATCTCCACCACTTCTTTCTTCACCAAGTCGTACGGTGTCCTTTCATACGTGCGCCAGACTGCGTCAAGGTCTTGCCCTAGCTCTTTGAGGGTTTGTGGTGCTGCAGGTGGCAGGAACGACAGTTTCTTTTCCCGTGGCAGATCCATTAGGCGGTTGATAACGTCACGATTCATCCATCCGAGAGACGATCGGTCAGTCTGCGCTGGCACGTCCCAAACAGGATCGAAATGGTACATCGAAACATGACCTTCGATCATCCACTCCAATGGATTGAGCAAGTCTGCAACGCGAAAGATGACGACCAATGCATCCCTGCACCTAAAGATGAACACCTGCAAGCCTGAGGACAGGATGAGCGAAAAGAGACCAAAGGGCCTAGCTCAGTAAAGCTTAAAACAAAGACCTCAGTTTGAATCCAAATGAAGTTTTATGAACTCAAAACGAGTGCATACCTCTGAATTTGCCTGGCGCCAGTCAGTTTTGAAGATGATATTCTCCCAACAGCAAAGTCCCCTACCGCCTTCACCCGAATCAATGCCAGGTCATTATGGCTGTATTTTGTGCAACTTTCAGACTAGACACAGCGATAATGACCGGGCGTTCTATTCGGGTGAAGACGGTAGCACAAGTGGGGAATGAAGATCACACACAGAAAATAACAATCGACAGACTTGGTGCAACGAAGTAAAGGAGCCCAGAGCTCAATGATGCATGCACTGCGTCCAAGCACGACTACAGTAGTCAGGGCATCAGTGGCATCATCCACAAAGATCACGAGGGACGCAGGGCCCGATTCCCCGTACGATCGTTTTTTTTCCCAACCCAACGATGTCTCTCAGGGGGCGCTGGACCCGCTTTCCAGCAGGTGATAGCTCCCCACCAATAGTAGAATGGAGCCCCCTGCAAGACAGGTAGGGGTGCATGCTCTTACCATCATCACTCCTATCTGTTGATGCGGGTGGATTTTTTTTTTTTTTTTTTTTTTTTTTTAACCACTAGTACCTTTGTCGGTTCGGAAAATAGCGGGCCTCCGACCTTTCAGGAGGTCGAAACGAAACGACGGCCGTCGATCAGATTGATCAAGGGGGCTCGGCCTCCTGAAAGTTCGGGAGCTGGCAAGAACTTGTCGAAACCGGACGCCAAAGGTACTAGTGATTTAAGGGGTACCAGAGGGAAATGGAAAGGAGTTAGTCGTAACTGTCATGACTCGGATTCGCACAAACATGGCATCATATGCTTGGTCCCATCAGATGCTTGGCACTCATTTTCTTTGTTTGTTTCCCTATCTTTCCCATTCTCATTTTCATCTTCACGGTACAGAACGCTGCAAAGCCCAAAGTTCAAAGGTGTTAAAAAAAAAAAAAAAGGTCAAAAAAAAAAAAAAAAAGCTTCAAAGGTCAAACTGTTTTTCAGAAAATTTGTGCTCTCTTTGTCTTTTTCTGCCGCTGGAAAGCCTTACAGCTTTTTTTTTTCTTTTTTTTTTTTGGACCACTTGATTTGTGAGCATCATCCTTGTGCCAGGACCATTCTGATCTTCTCCGCATGATTTCCGTTTTTCGGCGGATGTCCCCCAAAGACGTTCCTTAACAACTGCTTATCATTCATGTAGGGGAGGGAAAACAACCATGGGCGTCAAAGCGAGACACGGGAGGACACGACCTTTCAAAATTGATAATAAAAATTGATAATATTCAATGGACAACGCGACCAAACAAAACGAGAAAGGAAGTCGGAAACAGCAAGGAGGAGGAGGAAGAGGAGGAACAAAAAGGGATAGAGACTATTAGAGAGAGAAAAAAGGGCCGGCCGGGAATGCCAACATGCCACCATACCTTGCCGCTGGAAGAAATATCCTCTAACCCACTCCATCTGCATTCCAGAAGAAAACAAAGAGCACGTCAAGATTCAAGCTTACCACAATAAGAAAGAAAAAACAATAGGGCCTGATTAAAAAAACAAAAACAAAACAATAGGCCACTTAGTGCTGTATGTAGAGTAGAACATTTGGCATATTACGCTGTCACAACAGATATGATGGAAGGAAAATTAAAGGCCAGTGAGATCGCTTAAACCACCAATCCATCCTCCATCCTCCATCCAGAGGTAATTTTTTTTGACAAACCAAAAGTTGCATTTTCATTTCCCCGAGCCTAAAATCCACAGTGTTGCTGTGAGGAAAAATAGTTGTGGTACCCTTCCCCACGGAACCTCTACTGGGCCTAGGCACTGTAGGTTTTGACACGGTGCTCGTAGATAAGAAAAGTCGGAAGTGCAGGGGCTGTTGGAGGGGTGGCTTAGTATTGTTAAGGGGTAATTGCAGAAATTCTGAAATAGCGCATTTCCAAAGTTTCGCAGCAGAAATGTTGTTGTTGTTGTTGTTTTTGTTTTTTGTTTTTGTTTTGTTTTGTTTTGTTTTGTTTTTTTGTTGTTGTTGATAAGAGCTTGATTTTATTTATATATATGAGCAAAAGGAGGCCGGGAATCCCTCCACATCTCAACCCGGAATACTGTGGCCAGCACCCAGCTTGGGCTTTAACTGGAAAACGGGTCCAGTGTCCCATTCTTCGGTGATCTCCCCTAGCTAATCCTCCACCTAATTATCGAAGCCAGTGCCCGCAGGAGCTCAGCTAGAAGGGAAAAGTAATGAAAGCCAACCGGAGGCTACTCACTCTTCCTGGAAACTAGTTTGGGTTTTCTCCTCTAAAACCCTAAACCCCGTTCCTCCCGCTGCCTGGTACTCAAGTCTGCCCCCCCTGTGGGTATCCTCCTGCTGTGTGAAGGCCCCTTTTTTAACAATCCTGAGTCTTCTAAGATATGTTGTACAGGCGGGGTCCCAAAAGTCTATTTTTGCAAGGAAAGTGGGACCCCGCCTGCAAATACGTTTTGCTGTGAAACTACCAGGACCTCTAAAGCTGCAACGAAAGATATACTTTTGCAACAAAACTTGGGCCCCGCCAATATTTTTGCTGTGAAACTACTGCGATGGGCTATTTTTGAAACTTACCCTATAGTTAGTGTAAAATCTGAACATCATGCGCGATACACAATCGAAATAAAAGAAGACGAGGAGGAGGAGGAGGAGGAGGAGGAGGAGGGAAGGAATTCATCAAAGACGCATTCAAGGGAGGAGGAGGAGGAAGAGGAGGGGGAGGAGGAAGAGGAGGGGGAGGAGGAAGAGGGAGGGGGAGGAGGAAGAGGGAGGGATCTCAAAGAGACGTGAAAGGGAGAGCAGGAGGATATAGAGATGTGAAAGGACAAGGATTCAGGAAGAAGAGGAGGAGGAGGAGGACTTGGAAGAGCAGAACATCCAGACTTTCGTGGTCAGTTTTGTGACTGGGTTACCACTGCTGAAAGCGAAGTGTATGTTGGATGGTGATTCCTACTGTTTTGATGGCAGCTTCTTTTTTTTTTGGAGAGAAAAAATATATATATACATATATATCGTCACAAATATATATATATATATCGTCATATATATCGTCATATATATCGTCAAATAGAACTGCCCGGTAAACCGTAGGCAGAGAGGGAGAAGAGGACAACAAATGAGGGGCTGTATATAATATTATAAAATATATAATATATATGTTTTTTTTTTTTTTTCAAGCTGTCTTCTTCTCGTATGGGGGACAGCTGAAGTTACTACGCTCTTCTCCTCTATCTGAAATTTTTGCCTCACACTAGCCACTGCTGATCTCCCATCTCTATGCACAAGTCTACCCACAAATCCGACAAGGGACCGCTAAGGCCTAACTGCAAGTACTACGGCAGGAAGCAACTCTTATATAATAGTAGGATGGCAGGGGTTAATAGGTTGAATGGCCACCAAGTACCCCCAAAACTACCCCGGCCTACCTATCCCCTCAGGGTTGAACCTACCCCCTTAGGGTTGAGTCTAGGGTTGAGTCTAAACCCTGGTGTGGCTGGAAGGGGATCCCAACAGACCCTACCAATACCCACTAGAGGGGGGTGAGCCAAGTATCTCAGGTGGTGGACCCCAAGTGCCCGCCAGAGGCGGCTGTGGGGAGCCGAGTGGATGACGTGGGGAACCGGACCCGCGACCTCCTGCATACCATTTAGGTGCTCAACCAACTGAGCTGGCTGCTGGCCCAGCGGTTTCTTTATTTATTATTGCTTTTGTTGCAGATCCTCCTGTAGATGTTGATGGAACTCAAGAACCTGCTTCTGGCCCTTTACTTTATGGACGGTGGGAAAGGAGGAGAAAAAGGAGAGCACAGTGAAAGATGGTTATTTGATTCATTAACACACAACTACGTGAGGCCCACAACTTTTTTTCTTTTCTTTTCTTTTGGACAATTGGTCTAGTCTCCATTCGTGACGTGAGCCCACTACTCAAAAAAGCACTTGCCTTCCAGTTGTCTGTGACCACTTGCCGGACTGTCTCGAGCTCTTCAAATGAAAGCTTAGCTGCCATAGCTATGACTTGTGCATTGATAGGAGTCTCAGTCGAAGGGTCCGGGAACCATCGGACGATTGACTCAGGCAACGAGAAATCTGGATTTATTCCATTCGTCAACAGCATCAGCGGTCCCCTTGGTTCTGCCCTCTCCCAGATGCGTTCCAACCACTGAGGCAAAGGAAGCAACCTGAAGATCTGCCCTGCACACGGGTGGCGCCACCAGGCCGTTAGTGTACTCAAGCAAAGCCAACGATGTTCAGAAAACACCCACTTGTTTCCCCCCCCCACGTATAAACACTGCCAGCAAGCTGCTGGGTTCTGCGGATCTTGTTACAAAATGCACATGTCTCTTCAACTTCACCCGAGTATTCGACCTGTGCATTTCGTTGTCGAAAGCACAAGTGTATTCACGACCTGACTTGAACGGTTGTTTTTTTTTTTTTTTTTTTTTTTTTTTTTTTTTTTTAACACCATAGAGGGGCGCTCCATCTATTGGTGGGGAGCAACGCCTGCTGGAAAACGGGTCTAGCGTCCAATATACAATACAAAATCTTGCGTCTGAGAGACTGGGAATTGTGATGGCGATGTAGGCACACGTTTGGTTGTTGATTGCTGTTGAAGGTTCTCCGAGAAACGCCAACTGCATAACTTCCCTTGAACGTTATTACCGTCATCCCCCGAAGAGAACGTACGGTCACTAGTACAGCCGTATTTGACACACCTTTTAGTCCACATGCAGGAGAAATCACCACACGTTCGTCCTATTCGGGAGAAGAAGGTAGCCACACGTTTCGTTGTTGATTGTCCTGTGCAGGTTCTCTCAGAAACGCCAACTGCATGGCCAGCGTTCGCGATCACCCCATCCGCTAAAGGTTAGGCCGCTTCCAGGGCGGAAAAGTCTGACGGGATGAACTACAACTCAACGGCTTTGGCAGATTATATTGGAGGCAAAGATAATCACACTGACAAAACGGCTGGGCATAATCAAGCCGACAACGGCTCAGAACCCAGCTGTGTCAAGAGTGTCTGATGGCTCCGCCGATTACAATTTGATTGGCCCTTTTTTTCGTATTTGAAAGTTGAAGTTTGAACTGTAGAGGAAAAGAAATATCCGGCTGACACAACGCCGGAAGAGGACATGGGAAGAGACACAGATGATGACAACACACAGAAGAGAGGAGGAGGAGAGCAGTGGATGACAAGAAAAGGGTCACAGCGGGAGAATCAATGACAAGACCATACCAATGTGTTCTCCTTGTTCCCCTGGGGAGATCTGTTACATAGCACTTAAGAAATACATAGTACGATCCTAAATGGGTACCTACGAGGGCCTGGCGATTGGCCAAGAGCAAACCACCGAGGCCAGATGCAAAATGCTTTAACAAATGCTGGCTTTCTGAAGGGGAAAACACTAATAATGCCACATGGTGACGGTGCTGGTGCTGGTGGTAGTGGTGGTGGTGATGGTGGGGTTGGGGGCTGGTGGTGGTGGTGAGGAACGGTGTGACAAGTGAAATGATGCCTTTTAAGTTTTTACCACTTTATTTGCCTTACCAAAAAAGGACCTGTCCACATCCCAGACGTCCAGGGTTGATAATGGTCGTGATCATCGGCACTTGCAGAGGCAGCCTACTGTTCATGTGGTGGATGATTAGGGGGGTACAGCAGGAGGGCTTCACACCTTGAGCGTGGGAGAATTTCTGCAGGTACAGCCAGTATTCTGATGATCAACTATAGCTGCATGCTCTTGAGTTGGTCACACATGACTCACAGACACACACACACACACACACACACACACACACACACCTGTCTCTTATACACATCTAGATGTGTATAAGAGAAGAGAGAGAGAGAGAGAGAGAGAGAGAGAGAGAGAGAGAGAGAGAGAGAGAGAGAGAGAGAGAGAGAGAGAGAGAGAGAGAGAGAGAGAGAGAGAGAGAGTACAGCCAGTATTCTGATGATCAACTATAGGTGCATGCTTTTGAGTTGGTCACACATGACTCAGAGAGAGAGAGAGATCATCTTTTCCTGGATCCTGCAAGCTATAGCGACGGACAGACCACACGTCAGTCTGTAAGAACACTGTGCCCTGTGCACATCATGGTTGTGGATGGGAAGGAGAGTTATCTCCAACATTGTGGTAAAGATGGAAGGAGAGTTATCTTTCCTTTTCCCTGATGCAGAGGAGCCTAATCTACATCCCTGATTTTTTTTCCCCATAATTTTTGGTTGCCAGACATCAGAACGAAAAATTGCCACCAATGTTGGGGTACTCGGAATCGCCCCTCCCTCCCCCGCCTCTCCTGCAGCCTGAACCCCTGCAGCAAGCGGGTTGGAAGTCTGATAATCTTGTGACGTAGTGTACTAATCCCTAAGTTTGATGTTCAAGTATTATAATCCTTTGATCTTTCGCTGCACAGTACAACAAAGTATGCATGGGGTTTGGAGAAAAGAAAAGATAAAAAAAAAATAGTCCTGAATCCCTGCCGACAAATTGTCCTTCCCTTTTGACATCCCTTTTGGTCAAAGCATTCTAACTGGCACTCCCTGAAACACAGTTGCCTTTGTTTCGCTCTTTTGCAATCTTCATTGCATCTCCCAACTCCCCCCCACTACCAAGCACAAAGGAAACAAGCATGCATTTTGGGTGTTAGGTAGGCCACACGCATTCTGGCCATACTGATCGTGGAAGGCTAGCACATTCGTTTTCTCATGCTTTTTTCGACACAGTCGATAATCCGAACGGACCGGTCTGTCTGCAGTTGGCTGGATGAATGCAGCTGGGACAATCTGGGACAGGTGGGCCTGTGACCCAGAGGGCCCTTCATTCAGTCCTAATTTGCTACGAAAAAGAAGGCGTCACATCAATTCATGAGGGAAGTAATTCGGCAAAATACTCTTACCCATGATTGCAAATGCCTTGGTGACTGTTGAAAAGGCCAGTCCCATAAGAAGGATGATGAACGTTTCGAGCCGATTGTCCTTTAGCTCTCCGATTAAGCTCCATAAGCCAGTGTGCGTGGACCTGCCCATACGTGCTTTCAGTTGAAGCACTGGCGAAGTCAACCGTGGAGGCACTCGGCTAACCGGCCGATCGAGCTGCGTGACGATGCTGTCAACATTTGCCCCATTTCTCTCCCCCGCTACACTTGTGCTCCCTCCTCCTCCTCCTCCTCCACGACCTCCGATCGTCTCTTCTTCAGCTTCCTCAAAATCTCCATAGTCTTGTTTCTCATAAACGCTATGGATCGGTCCTGTTGTGTAGCTCCCCGCATCACCATCTGATAGGCACCCATCTGTCCTTGGTGCTGGGCTGTCTTTCTTCAGAATTGGGACAACATCTCTGCTGCCAGTTGACGAGCTATTTTCTCTCTTCGACGTGGACGAGACATCCCGCTTGTGTGTGAAGTTGTCCTTCCGGAATTGGTAAGTGTCCTTCTTGGAGAAGACACTAATGCGCTCTGACACTGTGCCGACACCGTTCGACTTCGTAAGAAGTTGCGCATCTCTGGAAGAAGACGAACGATCTGCTGGGATAGTAGACCCAGGAGTCTTCACCGTTGTCATTACCGGAGACTCAGGCTCCGATGCCGATCCTGTCTTGTAGCCATCCCCCATTGGAGGTGCGGACCTAGGGCAAGGAAGTCTCTCCGGCACGGAGGGAGGGGGTATCTTTTCAATTTTTGAAGATGGTGTCGCCCGTTGCAGGGAAGCAGTACCTGTTGGCCGACTTGACTTTGCCGAAGGCTTGATCTTCACCCCATCTGGGCAGCCGCAGCAATGATGAACAGGATGGTGGCAATCAATGAGAGACCAATTTGCAGGCCAATTGTTGGCATTTGCAAAATGATAGCATCCAAGACATTGGTTTTTTTTTTTTTTTTTTTTTTTTTTTAATGGCATTGTTTTTTTTTTACTTTTTTCCCTCTTTCTTGGTTAGCAAACATTTGTCTTGGACAATTTCTCGACTTGCGTCTATCATACGGACTCATACCTCACATTTTTTTATTTTTGGCAAGTTTTTTGCAACTTTTTTCTTTTTTAATTTGGCCAAAGACAGCAAATCACGGTTGGTCGTCCATCATTTTACAGGGTACAAAAAAAAAAAAAAGAACACAATTACTCTGTATCTATCATTCATGCGTGCATTACTTATCTGATTCTTACAGCATCATGCAAACCAAATGGTGCAAACTTCAAAGCCTGATCAGGTCTGTGGTCCTACTAATGGATGCAAGTGCTTGGCTTGATCTTCTCACCTGGGGCCTCATTTTAGTGCTCACTCGCACATGGGCTTCTTCAGCTGATTCTGCGTGTGCATTCAGTCAAACTGACTCAGACACATACATCTCCGGCCTGGGTTTTGCACTCGTGGGACAGTATGTACTATGTAGTCAATGAATCACACAAAAGCACTAAGGGCAAACACTATGACCGCATCCCCACCATACCACAAGCATCAGGCAAAAAGAAAGATAAAACTCCCCGTAACAGGTTAGTTAGTATGCCGTGCAGAGCCGTGCACTCTATGTATGGGTGACAAGTTTCATTAAAAAGGCCTTTTGAGTTTTCTTATAAATGGCAGGAGAGGATGGGTAGGGAGGCGGTCTCACAAATGGAATGATTGTCAGGACGACCAATGGCTGCCTGGTGCAGCAACCACCGTGTGTCTGGTACCTGGCCTCTACAACAACCTGGGCTTTTTAATTAAAAAAAAAAAAAAGGGCAGGAGAAATTTCTGAAAATTCACGCCTCCGTTAACCTTCTCTCCCTAGAATGGAGGAGGAGCCAGGGCGATAAGGACTTGTTTACGTTTCAAAAGAAAAGGGGAGAAAAAAAAAGAACATACCTGGACATTACTAGGACAAGCAAGTGGCCTAAGGCAAGGCTAAAGGCTGCTTAGCATCTTCCAGCCTTGCTGAGGAGAAGCATGAGAGTCATGTATGCTGACTGGCTTGCCTGCGCAACAGAAACATACTGCCCTCCCCCAAGCAGAATGGGCCCACAGCCGTGCCAGCGGCCTAACTCAGTCGGTTTTGTACGAAAACATTCAGGAGGTCGTGGGCTCAATTCCCCCACGGTCGCCTGCGGCGTGTTTGGTGTTCACCGAGCTGAGATAGTTGGCTTGCGCCCCCCTAGTCCGTCTTGGTATGGTCCCGGCCCCTGGGTTCTCTTAGAGGTCCTCACCCCTGCCATTCCTCACTGGGGGTAAGGTTTGGTACATCTCAGATGTTCCCTCTACCCGGTAGATCTCGGCGGCTCCTTCCTGGTACACTTAAGCATATAGGTAGGAACTAGGTAGTGTGAGGTATACTTGAGTGAAGAAAATAATATTGCTCAGTCAAAAAAAAAAAAAAAAAAAAAAAAGAATAAGAATGGCCCATGGCCGTAAAGGCTTCATTTCACCAACAGGCGAAGGGAGAAAAAGAAAAGTACCTGGACGTGGACAACAGCTAGGTGCATGGCTTTCTACCTCCCCCTGTTAACACGTGTGGCAGACATCCAGACACATTCTGACAGTGGCATTCGTCGAGGATTTCAAAATCCTCAATGAAAGACGGCAGCGGTATCCAGGCTGACGCTGGCGTCTTAAAAAGAAAAAAAAGAAAAAAAAAGGCAACGGTATCCCTCCCCCGGTTCTCCCCTAATCCACGGTACAAATTAGAGGACCGAGCAGAGCACACAAAAAAGCAGGCTGTGGCACACTCCATGAGCGAGCAGCGCACACAAAAAAACACGCCGTACCAATTAGACACTGAGCAGTGCACACAGGAAACAGGCTGTGGCACATTCCATGAGAAAGGAAAGAAGAGAAGTGAAAGAACAGGGCAAAACGCCTCAAGCGGACAGGGTGAGACGAGAACGAGCAAGCGAAAAAGACAAGAGAACAGAGTTCAGTGAAGCCCAAGTCCCCCACAGAACTGAGGAGGATATTCTTGGGAGAAAGAAAAGAGTTAGAAAAGCAAGAAAAACATGAAAAGGAAGAAAAAGAAAATCTCAAAGGGGATACTCACGCCTAGAGAAAGAATATGTTGTCTGTCCACGCTTCCATGCAGCGTATACAATCCACGCCAAAAGCAGATACCAGCAGGACATCAACATCACCGATAACCAGTTCTGGGCAGTACTGGAGGAGGCCAGGTCAGGGGCAGGATCACCAGTCACATTAACAGATCCCATTTTCCATCAGGGCCCCCTACCACTGACACTGCGGCGCAGTGTGTGTTTCCCATCCTACCGCCCACATCACCACCCACATTAGGAGAAAGCCTGAGAATAACCACATCTTGACCAGGAAGATTGCTGGCATGTCGCCGGCAATAACCTTAGCTGCTGCATGGCAAACAGGCATGCTAGCACCACAGCTGGTAATCTTCCTAGGCAGGCCAGTTGTCTGTACCATGGCTTCGAGAATTTTGGATCGCAAGCATCAAAAGGACTCAGGAGTCAAAACCCAACACGCCCTGCCTGCTCTCACCTGCCTCCACAAGCATCTTGTCATTGACAAGACACTCTTCATGCACAAGCAAACCAAATATGAACGAGGTAAACACAAGTAAGAGAGGCAAACCAAAGGGATTGCACAAGTAAGAGAGGGAGAGACAATGACTGTGCCACCTCATCAACTGTCGAAACACAGACCAAAGTTCGAACCCAGATGAAAAAAAAACAAAAAAACAAAGTGCTGTATCCAAAACGAGAGCTCAAAGGACAAATTTTCAAAATTACTTGTCCTTCCTGCCCTACCAATCAAGCTCAGGCCAGCTCTCTCTCTCTCTCTCTCTCTCTCTCTCTCTCTCTCTC